TGCGCGGCAGGCAGAATTTTGAAAAAAAAAACAGTCCAAAAAAGGCGTTTTTAGTCACTTTTTGAAAAATGTTGACAAAAAAATCGCGTTTTTTCTGCGCGCGCTCCCCCCTCAAAATCTGTATTTATTGGCGCCGAAAGCGTCTTTAGAAAAATTTTAGGGTCGGTCGGCCGGCCAGAAATGGATTTCTCAAAAAGTACCAAAGGGGGACCCTTTGGTTCGGCAGGGGGTCGAATCCCTGAGCTTTTTAATTTACCTGAGTACTAAAGCACGGTCTAGCTTTGATTAAAGGATAATATTTTAAAGTATTTTTTTTTAAAATTAATAATGGTCAGATCATTATGTCTTACTTGCACAGCCAACGGTAATTTTTCTTGTACGTTTTTTTTTGTTGCAGGTAATTGAATTACAAAATAATTTGGGGAATTTTCAAACTTGTATAATACATTTTTGCTCAGTTATTTCGCACGTATTTTTGAGAAACCACCTAAACGAGTTTCATGTCTGAACTTATCTGATAGTTTTATCTGTTACTTATCTGAACTTAACTAATAGTTTTGTTTTCTGGTAATAAAAAATTGATGGTCGGTTACTGTGCAACTAGCACAGAATGTTCCGACCATAGTCTAAAAAAAATACAAAGTGTTTTTTTTTTCAAATTAGTATCGTTATTTTCTGCGTGGTTAAAAAAAGAATCTGAACAAAAAACTGGGACTTAGGAATATTTGACAGTCATAGTCAAATAAGAAAAAAGTCATAGAAGTACCAGCAAAACAAAAAATATTAATAAAGTACAAAAATAAATCGCAGAACTTTTTTTGACTTTTTGAAGTTTTTCTTTTTCCAAATGGTGCTTAAAAACTCCAAAACCATTTTTTACTGGGTAAAATAACTTTGCATGGCCAGAATTAAACAGATATAAGCTACTGTAAACCTGCTCGCTCGCATTGTTCGCTCGAACTTAGACTGAAAGTCAAAAAATTAAAACCTTTTTTTTTTCAGTACTGGGACAATGTTGTTTATGTCGTTCGAATCGCGACTGAAAGAGCTTGAATTTGATATTGGAAGTTTTTTTGACAGTGGTTCTGAAAATTGTTTTTTTTTGCCCCAATACTTGTATTCCACCGAGAATTCTATCCTTTACTAAAACATTTTGTCGACCTCATTTTTTGAAAGGAATGAATTTGAACTCCATTTTGACGAGAAAACGGGAAAAAATGGTTCATGCGTGTTTAATTGCTAAAATTTCTGTTGCGTATTTCTCAGAAAGATATTTAAAACATTAGTTTTGCATTTTGTTTTTTCACAGAAATGTTTTTTTTCTTTTGCGTGTTTTAAAACAATCATTTCGCGTTGTCAGTTTCTCAATAGGCGTTGTCGTCTAAAGTTCTCATCAAAAACGGTTGTCGCCTTATTTGCCGGTCACCTCGCGCAAGATATAAGGTGATGATTTTCCTGTTTTGACCACGCAAAGACAAAAACTTTGGTTGGGCGTATTTTTTTTCGCATAAAATCATTCAATACAAAGAAGGATGGCTCAGGGTCCAATGATGTATCTTGTTTAAACCCATCGGAGTTTCTTTAAGCAAATTGTCTTGCAATTGATGGAAAAATGAGATCATCCTCCCCCTCCTTCAAATAGACCAAATTAAGATTCTCCGACCCAGCTTTGAATTTAGATTAAGTTTTCTAAGGAAGCGTGTAAAATGCTCTATTAAAATTTCGAACTCAGAATCAAATTGAGGTCCTTCCCCCTAAATGATTTTCGAGGGAGGGGGAGGGGGGTTTGAAGGATGTTAACTTGGTTCAAAAAATGATTGTAAAATGCATTCACAATTTTTTAATTCATTTCAATGTGAACTTTTTCACAACTAATTGTTGTTCCGACTACATCACTAAAAGTGTCGCTTCTGTTTTATTTCCGCTTGATTTTGACGACCTCAACGAAAACTTGTTGGGGTCAAGTGTAGTATCATTTGAAAGCTCTGCTGTTCGTCATTCGGATCCCACAAAAATTCAAAAAGTCTCAGTGTCGAAAAAATATGGCGTGAATTTTTCAGTTTGAGAAATATCACGATGAGACGCTGACTTCCTTTTTTAGTTTTTCTACAAAAACAATTTTATTTGAGCTATTACAATCTCTGTTAGTTACAATGATTTTCCTTATTCAGTCGACTTGACTTACCAATATTATCAAGGAATTTATAAAACAATGGACAGTTTTTGTGAAAAAATTTGAACGTTATTTATTTCAATTGTTAAGTTTTTTTTTCTCTTGTTTTGAACTTTTTTTAGTTTTAATTACTGTAATCGGAAATTTTAATCTGAAGCAATCCTAGCTATTGGCAGCTTTCTTATTAATAATCGAATAAACTATAAAAAAAGTTCCAAAGAAAAGTTTAAAAAGTTTCTTTTTCTGTGTTTTAGCATTGCATTGGAAATTGCCCGAACACTTCCAAATAACGAAATCTAGTGTTTTTGACAAATAGTTTTGTTGAAAAAAAGTTTTGCTCATTTAAATATTCAGAACACTTCAATATTAAATTAAGCTCAAATATTTTGTTGTTTTGATTTGGCAGTAGTCGAATACACAGTGATTTACCCAAAAAATTTTGCTTTGAATTGCAGGGATGTGATGTTTTAAATGAATATATCATGAATGGAAATTTCCGTTTCTCTTTCTAATCATAAGTAATCGATAACTCGACTTCTTTTCTGTACTCATAGAACTTATCTAGATTTTTGTAAAAATTCTTTTCCAAGTCCCAGATGCTTTGCTTAATTTAATTTCTTTAAAAATTTGCCACCTAGCATTGGGTAAAATTCTCTCGAGATCTGAATTTTAATAAAAGTGCCACTAACTAACCGGGAGTAGAGTGACGTGGCGGGGGTATGGGAAAGGCGGTCGACCATTGGGCTGGAAAATTACACTTTCTTCTCCCAATAGACGTATACCTCTCCCATTATCATGCACCGTGAAAGAAAAATATGGTCACTAAGTTCACATTAACTCAAGTCAGGCTAAGGGTGGTTTTGTTGCAAGTATCTTACCAAGGGTTCGATTTCAGTTAATGCTTAATCAATCTTTGCTCTGTCGCCACTATACAATATTGGTCGTATTGTTTTGGTTAGCCCCCAAATGGTACTCATTAAAAACAGAGCCGGAAAGTTGAAAATGAAAGTGGACTTTATTCAGGCCGAAACTAGAACAGTTTGAAAAGGTGGTGTTGAAATATTAAACCGGTGAAATAATTTCAATGTCAGCATGACCCACCAGGTGCGAGGTCAATTAACCGATGTAGCAATCAACCGAAAAGATGAAAAATCAGAAAACAAGTGTAGTTTGATGAAGTAATTCATTAAGTTTTTGGCTAACATGATAAACTGCTGTTTATCCATGCAATTATGGTTATTTTGGGCGGATCTAGTATTTTCTCGAGGGGGAGCGGAGTGGATTTCAAAATTTTTTTGATTCAACCAATTTTTGATTTAACCATTTTTTCTGCATCGCAGGAGATTAGCAGGTTCTTGAAGTAAACAGTTGACAAAGACCCCTTTTCGAAATTTTTTTAAACCAAAAATTTGTGTTTTTTTGGCGAGCACTACCCCCTGAAAAGTTTATTTTTTGGTCGGCCTTCGAGTTGTGAGATTATGGGGCCGTATCCCTGAAAAAAAGTGTCCGCCCCTACCCCCCTGAATCCGCCCCTGATTTTTTAACTTGGGCAAAAAATGTTCGTTTTGACACTGTTCACTAGTTTTCGGCTTAGTGTTTATCTGTATTTTGAACCTAACCTACCATTGACGCATAGAGAGAGGGTAAATAAATCAATAGCGACGAATTTTTGGGGACCCTTTTGGTCTTATTTACTTGTCCGCGCTAATCGACAGCCAGTTGACAGTCTAGTTATCAATGGGCAAATCGATTATTGTTATAAACACCGATTGAAGGCTTGCTTATTTTTGGTTTTGAGGAAGTGTTTATCAGATACTGAAGTTTGGGGCTTACAGTAGTCATTTTTGTCGAAACTTTTGACGTCAAAACACAGTTTTGTAAACAAATTCGGTCGAATTTGATAAATTTCCTTTTTTGCACCCATTTCAAAATTTTAAAAAATCGGTTTATTTCAAAGTATATCGGTTTACCTTAGAGAAGAAAACTTGGATACAAATTAGCTTTCCATTTTTGACATGTATAAATTAAGACTTGTCAAATTCATACATGATGTTTTAGCTAATCCGCCGATTTCGGACGGATTATAAAGATTGAACTATTGTGCCACACATGAAAAAATATCCATTTAAAAATGCTGACGTGATATATGTACTTGTGAAGCGGATGGTAATAAACATATAAAATCAGACTTACTTGCATTTTATGCGTGCCGGTTTAAATATCGAGTCAAAAAATCTTCAATATAATTTAATTTGATTCTTTTGTTTTCCAACCCAGCTCATGTTACCGCGTCTTGTCGAAGCACCCTCAGAAAGGGGTTTGAACCCCAGGACATATCGCTATAAACAATAAAAAGACATATCTTTTTATTTATTCAAATACTCTCTAATTTTTACTTTTACCGAGTTGCAAAAAATGCAGAAAATTTATTTCTAACCCCTGAACGTGTCATTAAGTCCTCAACTTAGTTACCGGTTTTATCGTTCTGGGCGAACAGAGGTCTTCTGAAATTCAATTGCCCAGAACGTAGCACCTAATCTGGGCCATTTGGAAGTTAAGTTCTTTTTTCTCGATTATCGCAAGAGCTTTCAAGCGATTGCACAGCCTGATTAAATGACTATACACACGCCCATTTGAAATTACATAGAAAAGTTTAAATTTAAAGTTTTTTTGTACAACTTTATGATGTCATGTGAAATAAAATTGTTTCACGCAATTTTGCTGCTAGCTTGAAATTGGCTTGGTTAAAAAAAGAGAAAAAAAACATTTTTTCATCAATATTGAATCAACAAAGTGTCACTCAGCCAGTGGAGATGAAATATGAAAGCATGGTATATATTGTTATGTCACCTGCATTATTTCACTACCCACCTCTTTAATTAGCCTGCTGCTTTTTGGGGTGTTCTATTCCTTATTACTCCTAATCTTAGCAAAATTTGCTTCCTTCCCGAACTTTGGTGTCGAATTTCAGTGCAAAGATGTCAGATATACCAGAAAACTGTATCGAAATTGGGGTTGCAGTTTTTTTATGGTACCTCAAAAATTAAGACGCTCAAATGATTTAAATAAATGGTAAGAGAAAAGACAAGAGAAGCTGTACACGAGTCAATTTCCTCTCTTCCTGAATTTGTCCCAAAAAATCTGCCTGAAGTTGCGTTCAATCTTGTACCATTTTAATCACTTATCTTTGCAAAAAGTGAACAGATTTTAATCGGTTCCTTTGATGCGAAATGATTTACAGAAGTGCCTTTTTCTATACCAAATCCAATTGAGCAATTCATTAAAGTCAGACCATCTCGCTTACGTTTCGATTCCCCAATTGATCAAAAATTAATGACTTGCATTATTCGAATTATTCGTTTTTGTTAGAATAGCGCTCTTACCTTTACTTAAAGATATCTTGCACAAATTTACGATCTGGCTCTGCTTTACAGATGTTTTGTCTTTAATAGTCATAAATTTAAACCTTTATGATTCCAAGTACTATTTTGCTTTCATAAGCATTATTGCATTCATAAGTATAGTAATCATAAGCTACTATTTTTGCTTTACTGTTTATGCAATCTAAACTGTCGTTCAATTTAATTAAGCTGCTGTTTTTATACCGTTGCATTTAGCCCATTTTAAGAAGTAGACCCGGAAAAAACCGAAAACCAAATTTTGTTCTGGATTTCCTCAATTCACCAGTCGCCTTCAGAAACTACTCCAAAAAACTAACAATGGAACGCCAATTATGTTTGATTTTATTCTCTCTTAACTTTGCTGCGCCAAAATTAGTCAGTTACCCAGTTCCGGATTTCAATAAAAACTATAAATTCCAAAAGGAGATCAAAGTAAATTTGCCTCAGGGTACGATAATTGGCAACAAACAAGCGTACACTTACGAAGCGCAACGGTACCTAGTCGGCGAATTTCTCGGAATTCCTTTCGCTGAATCACCAGTGGGAACAAAACGATTTGTTCGTCCAGTTAAACTCGAAAAGTTCCCTGAGAACCCTTTCGATGCCAAAAAGTTCGGAGCTGGATGCCGACAGAATCTTGACTGGGCGTTCGAAGATCCCGAGTTGTATTCGGATCGGCTAAGGGCTGCTTCGTATATGTGGAATGTGTTAGAGCAAAGCGAAGACTGTCTCACTATAAATGTCTGGACTCCTTATCCTTTTGAGTTGGGGGGAGGTGCGGCTTTGAAGCCAGTGATGCTCTGGATTTTCGGAGGTGGCTTCTACTCTGGAGCTTCTAACCTGGACGTATATCGAGGGTACAGAATGGCGGCCTTAGAAGACGTGGTCGTTGTGACATTCAATTACAGAGTGGGTATTTTCGGATTCCTCAAAGTTGACGAACTCGAGAACAGTGGCAATCAGGGACTCTATGATCAGATTATGGGTGAGTTCTTTAACATAAATTTTATACTGAGGAACAATGAATTGCGTGTACAAGACTCTTGTGAAGTAATTCCTCAAACGTTATGTAGCCCTCGTTAAAAACTATGCAAACGACAAAGAAGTTGTTCAAAAAATAACCAAATTTGTATGTTGGTCCTTTTTTCCACCTCTGTGTACGCGGACAGTTTTAGCATTTATCTAACACTCTGGATTAACCTATTCTTCAGTTATTCAAATAAAAAAGCTGGGTAGATTGCATAGTCAATTGTCTGTTTTAACGATTTATTTGAGCGCGTTGCTTTTGAAAGATGAAATCATTAATTGAGTACCGTATTCACTTGATTGTTGATGCATTCTATATTTAGTGTTTCAGCTCTGTCATACCGTATTGAATGATATCTAGCAATATCGAATCCGAACGGATTGGTAAACAACAAATAATGTTAGTTTGAGAACTCAAAGAAAACAACTAGTTCTGAAAGTCTTTATTTAAGTTCTAACCATCATAACATGATGTTGTGTTTTCATAAATCGTACAAGGTCAAGTGACCTGCTCAACGTCGTGAGCTATAAATAAATACAACTAAATATTTAACTTTGCCAATTCGACCGGATGACATTCCCCCAGGAGAAAAACACAATTTTTTTTTAAAACTTTGAGTTTTAGGTTCTTATGTCCCAGTAGGACTATGTTGGGTTTTCGAGTCCTCGTTGGACTATATCTCAGCTTACGCGGTTTCTTTTTCCAACTCCTGTTGATTTTTTTTTATCATCTTGGTTCTCCTTTTGATGTTTTTCTTGGTGTTCCTCTAGATCGTCTCTTTGTGGTCTATGAGTTCGTGTTCTCGACGTTTTTGTTTTGTATGGTCGCTACGACGTGGACTTCATTGTCTTGTTTTTTCTGTGAACTGTCCGGGGGACGCCGAATTGATAATTTCGATTGTTTGTTGCTCTTCTTTCTTGGATTTTGACTTTATAGCCTCCAGAAATTTCACGCATGGTTTATATTCTGGCGATTTCTCATGAAGTCCAATCTCCGAGATGAGGCTTTTCAGGCTGGATTTTTGTTTAGAAGTTGGTTCATGTCCAGACTGTTTTTCTGGTGTTCTATCGGTAGGCGACTCGATAGAAAGTTGTTTAGGTGACTGATTCATGTGTCCTATCGCCTTTATCGGAACCGGATTCACCAGTGCCCCGGCTAGTGCTGAATTGCGAGCTCGACCCGATTTCGTCGTTGGTGCCAAGACTTTTGCAGTTTCGGGGGTTTTGTTTTTGTTTACCCGTTTTAGAGAGGAAGCAGTGTTCTGTGAAGCTGATGAACCCGTGTCACACGACGAGGTTGATTTTTCGCTCTCCGATTGATTCTTTGGGGTTGCCACTGTTTTTGACGACTCCGTTTGAAACTTCATTGCCCCTGGTTGGTCTTTGTGGTTTTCCCCCGGTTCGTTTTCCAGTTAGTTTTGTCTTTCCTTTGATTGGGCTTTCTTGTAACTCCTTTCGAGTAAGTTTCAGTGGTAGGCCCGTCCTCTTGTCTTCTCGGAACATGGGATATTGAGGCACCTTAGGACCATCCTGGCTGGCGTGTTTTGAATGGTTGCAGGCTCCGGGATTCTCCTTTTTTTTGACTCCATCCTCTGAGCACTTTTGAGGATCGTGCATTATGTCCGCTGGAAGTGGAGGGTGCATCAAGTTTTTGCGATCTTGTTCGGTACAGTGGATACATCCTTGTGCCACTTGCACAATTGATCGTTGCATGTGGGGAAACCAGGCGTGTTGGCAGAGATCAAGCATGGCCGCCGATCTGGGCTGGGTGGGGTGTAGATTATCGAGCACTGTCTGACAGAAATGAGTTGGGAGACCAATCCGCTCGTCGATGAGCAGGCAATCGTCTCGCACATGTATCAATATTGTTCAAAAGACAGTTTGAGGGCTTCTCAGTCTCGCTTTATTAGGAAGTTGACGAGTGGGCGCATTTTCCGGTCTTTTCGGGTCGCGGCGTCAATGAAATTGATTCCCAACACTTTCTGGAGGTTTTTCCTATAAAGTTGGGTGTCCTCCTTGATATCTGTGTTGGTTTCCTTGTTGACGGTAGCTACTTGCCCCTCTGTTATCGTTCCGTGGCTAGCTTCCAGTTGGAGGTTTTGTTCCAACGCGTTCGTTGATACCATCGTGCGTGGGTGGTTCCTCGTTTGGATAGATTTCCTCTTGTCTGGCTGTTGTTGTGTTCACGCGGCTCACGCAGTACTCGTATAGTTTATTTGTATCGATTAATAGTTCTGTTTGCGTGTGTATATCTTGGTTTTTGTACTCCGTTTGGGTGGAAGATGACGGCTTACTGGACTTAATGTCGATTGCGTCTGTTTAGGAGACGAAACTTCCGTTGTTATTTGTTGTTTCCATGCTTGGTACTTTACTCGATTTTGCTTGGCTTGCACTGTTAACGCTGAAGCCTTTTTTTTTGCAATAATGATGCTTTTTTTTCTTCTCTATTGCTCGTTTAGTGTTTTCTTTGGCGTCCTTGATTATGGCTGGTGTTGATGTAGATTCTGGCTGGTCGATGTGCTTTTCGGTGGTCCTTTGTCTGTACCAGTGCGGATGGAAAGGCTTTCTTCCCAATCGGACGCTCCTTGCCAATTATCAATGCGGTGACTGGTCCTGCTTCTATCGTTGATGCTTACGTTTTCCGGAATGGATCCTCCTCAAATCCGTTGTAGTTATTCCTTCTCCGCAGTTTATATTTGGTTGTTAGGACTTGCGTTAAGTTTACAATTTTTTTTTCTATTCAGAATGTTTTTTTTTCCGGTTGGATGTTGTAAGAGTTTGTGAGCGAGTGACTGAAATTTTGTTGATGAGATTGACCGTTTGTGAGCTGTTTGGAATGTTTGAAATGCCTCTGAGATTAATTTTGGCTTGTTACCGTCCTTTCAATATCCGTTTTTTGATCAGCGTTTTTTGATCAGCCGATTAGGTGCTCTTTTTTGATTGGCGAAAATTAAGTTGTCAATCATTTCAAGTTTTTTTTTTGTGAATGAGTTGACTGACGCCACCACAAATTGTTCATCCTACTCTCTGTGTGGTATTGCTAATCCAACCGGATTTCAGGACCTTTAGTCAAATCATCCTATCTGGTTTCCCGCCTATCTTGTTTTATGTCAATTTTGAAAAGGATTAACCGATCAATCCATCTTGTGAGTCTACTTTGAATAAATTTTGATCTTTGGCTTGCGTTTAATGCGCTGAATAAAGCCTGGGGTGTCTGTGATGACGGTAAAATTTATCCCGTACAAATAGTATTTGAAGTGCTCTGTAGCCCAAACGACCACCAAGAGCTCAATTTTGTTAAGTGAGTTTTTCTTCCGAAGAATTTAAAAATCCTGACACGTATGCGGTTGCTACCCAACCTTTTGACGTGTTCTGTTTTAGGACTGCACCTAGACAACAATTGATTCGTCGCAAATCACCCCGGTTCCCACGTTCTGATTGAAGTGTTTATTTTGCGTGATTTCTGAAATTAATTTTTTATTCTTGTTAAATGTTATGTCATGTTCTGATTTCCAATCTAGAGCTTCATTTTTTTCCGTGTTTTTAGCAGAGGACGCAGTGCCGCGGCGGTTTGTGCCAGATGTTGCATGCATCTTGTGAGATGATGTTTTCAGCCCATAAAATTTTTCAGTTGTTTGAATGTTTTCGTTGGAGCTAGTTTTTCTATGGCTTCTGTTTTTCTGATTGAAGGTGTTGTACCCTCACTATCTATACTGTACCCTAGTCATTCTACCTCTTTGCATGCTAACTTAAATTTGTCTATAGAGATGGCAAGGTTTTTTTCATCAAGCTTTTGTATTGCTTTTTGTAATGTGTTTTTGTGTACTTCTTTGGTTTCTATCAACAGATCCTCGAGATATGCGTAAGTGTTTTTGCATTTTCTTAGTGTGAGATCGTTTGTTTTTTGGAACTCTGCCGGCATATCTGTGAGGCCGTAGAAGCCTGTTTGGAATTGATATGTCCCCGTGGCTTTTCCCTCGATGAGGCTAAAGTTGCACTGTTCTCGGCTTTGCTGATCCAGAGGGATTTGCGAGTAGGCGTGCCGCAAATCAAGAGATGAGAATATTTTTTGCCCTTTTGTGTCAGATTTTATTGTTTGCGCCATGTTATCTAATAGCAGTTCTTTATCTGGCATTTGATATTTGTTTTTTTTTAAATGAATTTGTTAATTATCTTCGAATCTAGCACCAATTTCACCGTTTGATCCTTTTTTACGGTAATTACGATCGGGCTGATGAACTGTTTGTCCGAATTTTTATCCAATTTCAAAATATGTGTATGATTTTTTGTTTGTTCAATTCTTTTCGCCCCTTCGTGAACAAGTATTGTTATTCGGCGTCGCTTTTGTTGCATCGGAACCACTTTTGGGGTAGACTTTGTTTTCATCACGTGGTTTTTGTTTTGCCGATTCTGATGCATAGTTGTATCCTTGACCCACTGTTTTATTTTCATATTTGATTTTCCCCTTCGTCCATATTGAGCATTTGGTAGTGTTTTGGTTTTTCCTGTACCAGTCTGATCCCGATTTGTGGTAGTAAATTCCGGCCGATTTTTTTTTGCTTTTTGGTCGCCAACTACGATAATTGGGGCTGATTCAATTGTCCTTCCCCCAGACTTGAGTGTGATAATTAGTCGTCCTTTCAGTATAACGAATTTTCCTTTATAAACTGTTAAATTTCAGGCGGCATCCTTCGTGGAGATATATTTGAAAACTGTTGAACTGTCGTTTTGTTGCAGTCAACGTCCTGTTGCCTCTTTTAAAAACGACATTGTTCTGCTGGAATCAGCAATAGCGATTATGGGTTCTGATTTCGTCTTGTTTTTCACACCATGTGTTCATTTAAATCTTCGTCAGTTATTTTTGCTGACTTTTTGACGTCCAATGATTCGGAGATTTCCATCACGGAGAAATTATCTCTTTGTAATTCATCACAACCGTTTTGTGATGTGAATTCGGCG